ATCAATGTGGATTTCACAAGTTTCAAAATCTCCCCTCCCCCCACCGCATCCCAAAACCAGTCCAACTCGTCCCTGCCTCCCTAACCTGTTCTTCCTCCCACCTATCCCCTCCTCCCACCCCAAGCCGCACCTCCATCTCCTACCGACCAACCTCATCCCGCCCCCTTGACCTGTCCGTCCTCCCTGGACTGACCTATCCCCTTCCTAACTCCCTACCTACACTCACCTTTCCTGGCCCCATCCCCGCCTCTTCGACCTGTTTGTTTCCTCTCCACCTATCCTCTCCTCTATCCCTCTTCTATCCGCCTCCCACTCTCTCCCTATTTATTTCAAAACCCCCTTCCCCTCCCCCTTTTCTGATGAAGGGTCTAGGCCCGAAACGTCAGCCTCTCTGCTCCTATGATGCTGCTTGGCCTGCTGTGTTCATCCAGCCCTGCACCTTGTTGTCTCGGATTCTCCAGCATCTGCAGTTCCTACTATCTCTGAGGAGATTAACAGGTAGGTTTTACTCAAGAAGGATTGAGTAGAAGACAAAGGAGGCACACTTCTCAAGTAAAATCTTTGCTGTGTTATTCACCAGAACTACTGCACCCAAAACGTTTAACTTTATATGCTCAATATAAAATAATTGATTACTCATAGTTCAGGAAGTTGATGGGCTAGAGTTTCCTTCACAATATCAGGTAAAGTTGGAAAAGCAAATTGGAGCAGTGAGGCCTACTACAGCAGTTACACCCATTGTGAAATTCTCCTACCCCATCCCTATTCCCCAATCTCTCTCTGATGTATACAATAGCCTAGTATGAAGGGAACAGCGGATTATTGACGGGCCAGCATTATATGTCCATTCAAATTTACTTAGATGTCATTTCTCAACAAATATTTAGCTAGAGAGTTAGCAAAGTGACATATGAGCCTAATCAAACAGCCTACTCCACATTAAAAGCAAGATGATTTGAGTGTAGCCCAACCTCTTTTCAAAAAAACGCAGGACAAAATACACCTTTTAAAGCCACAGTATCATCACACTGTCCCATATCTTAAATTAATTACATCAAATTTTGGCCAATAGTCAGGGACAGTAGGGTATGACAGCAAGTCAGACAGGCATCGAAATTTAGAATTGAGCTTTGGAAGAGCCGCAGCCACTGTCCATGTCCAATAGGTCCAAGGTTTTTGCTCCGGATGTGAACTAGGGCACAGACTACAGAGAGAGGATGAGCGAACTGACCAAGACACTTCGTTATGCAGTGTTGTTCATGCTGAGGGAGAAAAAAGAAATGCTGTAGAAATAGTAGTTAGCAGAGTGAGGGGAATAGATGCTGTTCTCTGTAGCAAAGACAGAGTTCCAAAAGCTATGTTGCCCAGCTTGTGCCAAGCTTCAGGACATCTCTTCTGGGCTGGAGCGCAACTTGGAATGGAAGGAGGAGGATCCAGTTGTCATGATTCATGTAGGCTTGGCCAGGAAAGAATTTCTGCTGGGAAATAATGAGCAGTTCAGGGCTAATTTAAAATGCAAAACCACAAAGGTAATTATCTCTAAATTACTAACTAAACCACATGCAAGTTAGCACAAGGTAACTAAGACTAGAGAGATAAATACATGGCTCAAAGATTGGTGTGGGAGAAATGGGTTCTGATTCTGGAGGTACTCGCACATGGAGTACTGGGGAAAGAGAAAGCTGTTCCATTAGGCTGGGCTTCAGTTGAAGCATGCTGGGACCAGTGTTCTAGTGAATGATACAATGAAGGTTGTAAATAGGACTCAATGAATTCATGCAGGGGACGATTTAATTTAAGGGGAGTTATAAAAAATAAGAAAGGAATGAGTGGGCAGAGGTGCAGGGGAGGGAACAGGTGAAAAATAATCAAAGTCTGACAGGAAGGGGTTAAAAAAACAGAAGAATGCAGCAGAAATTAGAAACAATAATGGTAAAAAGAAAAGGCTTAGGGATTTCATCTGAATGTACATTGCATTTTTAGCAAGATAGATGAGTTGATGACAGAAATAGAGATAAATGAAAATGAGTTCATAATTCTTACAGAAAGGTTACACAATATCCAAGGCTTTGAATTCAATATTCAAACATGTTCAATCTTCAGGAAGAACAGACAAAAATGAGAAGGAGGTGAGATAGCTTTGTTAACAAAGGAGGGGTTTCAGTGTAGTGGTGAGTAGTGATATTGTTGCAACACATCATGACATGGAATCAGTTTCTGTGAAAATACGGAATATGAAGGTCAAAAACTCACAGATGGGAGTCATCTATAGGCCCCTTTCTCAGTAGGAGAAAGTATAAGCTGGGAACTAATGGAGGCATGTAAGGAGGGCATTTCAATTGCAAGGGTGATTTCAATTTGCAAATTCAGTTTGAGGTACAGTAACTCAGGTCTTAAAACCAGCGTCCTCAACTTAAATAAAGGCAACCACAGGGTTATGAAGGAAGAGTTGTCCAAAGTAGCCTGGGAAAGTAGACTTAAGAGGATGAGCAGTGGCAAATAGTTAAGCAGATATTTCAGCAAATTTACTGCTCCAGATATAACACTAAACAAAATTATATTCTGGTCAAAAAGAAAGACTCAATGAGAAAAGTGAACAACCCATGGTTAAAACTGGTCAAGGAGAGTATCTAACCAAAAACTAAGGCAGACAAAGTGGCAAAAACTGGTGATAAGCCAGTTCATAGAATCCCTACAGTGTGGAAACAGGCCCTCTGGCCCAACAAGTCCACACTGACCCTGAGAGCATCCCACCCTCCCTGTAACCCACCTAATCAACACATCCCTGAACACTACAGGCAATTTAGCACAGCCAATCCACCTAGCCTCCACATCTTTGGACTGTGGGAGGAAACCAGAGTACCCAGAGGAAACACATGCAGACATGGGGAGAATGTGCAAATTCCACACAGACAGTCGCCCAAGGGTGGAATCGAACCTGGGTGCCTGGCGCTGTGAGGCAGCAGTGCTAACCAGTTGATTTAGGATATTTCAGAAACCAGCAGTGGATTACCATAAAGCTAATAAAGCTGGAGAAAATTGGTTCCAAAAGTAAATTGGCAAGAAATTTTAAAAGAAGCAAGAGCTTCTACAGATATAAAAAAAGAAAAACAGTAACTATATTAAGTATGGGACCTTCAGGACGTGGTCGAGCAGTTTCAAGGCCGAAGAGATTACGAGAGAGTTGCAGTGGAAGAGAGATCCCCTGAGGTTTTTCCGGAGGGAGGAGGGTAACTTCTTCAGGGTAGGCATCCTTAGAAGAGGCTTCGCAGTGGGGTTAAAATTGTTTCAGAGATAGTAGGAACTGCAGATGCTGGAGAATCTGAGATAACAAGGTGTAGAACTGGATGAACACAGCAAGCCAAGCAGCATCAGAGGAGCAGGAAGGCTGACGTTTCGCGCCTAGACCCTTTTTGAAGAGGGGTCTAGGCCCGAAATGTCAGCCTTCCTGCTCCTCTGATGCTGCTTGGCTTGCTGTGTTCATCCAGCTCTACACCTTGTTATCTCAGATTCTCCAGCATCTGCAGCTCCTACTATCTCTTAAGTATGGGACCCTTGAGAATGCCACTGGGACATTAATAACAGGGAAGAGGGAAGTTGCAGATAACTGAAACTAATATTTTGCATCAGCCATCAAAAATAACATCCAATAAACAAAGTGCTAATGGGAGGAAGGCTCTCTTAACAGTCTCTATCAGGAGGGACAAAATATTTAACAAACTAATGGGACTAAAGGCACACAAGTCACTAGGAACTGATGACCCTGCACCTAAGGGTCTTAATGGAACTGGCTGCAAAGTCAGTGCAACCATGGGTGGAAATATTTCAGAACTCGCTGGATTCCAGGACACTTCCAGCAGACTGGTAACCATGATTGTGATGCCTTGTTTCAAGAAGGGATGGAGGCTGACACCAGGCAACTATAAACTAACTAAGCTAACATCTGTTGTTGGGAAAATGCTACAATTCATTATTAAGGAAGACATAGCAGGACATTTAGAAACAATTAACACAATCAGTGTCAACATTGTTTTGTAAACGGGGAATCATGTTTGACAAATTTGCCAGCGTTCTTTGGGGATAGAACAAACAGAGTTGATAAAAGGGAACCAGGACATGCAGAATACTTACATTTCCAGAAGGCATTCCATAAGTTGCCACATACAAGATAGGAGCTCACAGAGTAGATGATGTATTAGCATTGATTGTGAATTGATTAACACACAGAAGTCAGAGAGTCAGAATTAATAGGTCTTTTGTAGGTTGGGGAGATGTAACTAGTGGAGTTCCACAGGGATCTGTCCAAGGGCCTCAATTAGATATTATCTATGTTGGTGACTGGGAGTAAGGGAAATGATTCTAAATTTACTGACAGTGCAAAAATAGGTGGGAGAGCATCTTGTAAAGAGGATGCAAGGAATCTGTGAGGGGATATAGACAGGTTGAGTGAGTGGGCAACAGCTTGGCAGATGGATTTCAATGTTGGAAAGTGTGAGGTCATGCTTTGGTAGGAAGAATCAAAAGGCAATTATCTAAATGGAGAGAGGTTTCAAATAAAGTTCAGCAGAGATGGCTCTGGGTGTTCTTGTAAAACTCAAAAAGTTAACAAGCAAATGTAGCAAGTAATTAAGAATGCAAACGGAATTTTGACCTTTATTGCTAAGGAGTTGGAGTTTAAAAATAAGAAAATCTTATTAATATAAGTCTACAGCGTGTTAGTGTTGCTGCACCTGGAGTACTGTGCACAGTTTTGGTCCCCATATTTAAGAAAGAACACATTCGTATTGGAGGCTTTTAAAAAAGAGATTCACTAAATTAATTTCTGGTCTGAAGGGATTGACTTATGAAGAATGACTACTCAAGTTAGGCCTTTATACAGTAGAGTTTAGAAGAATATGGGGTGATTCTATTGAAATATACCAGATTATGAAGAGGCTTGACAGAATAGATATTGAGAAGATGTTTCCTACCATGGGCGAATCTCAAACAAGGGGATTCAGTTGCAGAATAAGGGGAAACACATTTAAGAGAGAGATGCTAAGAAATTTCTTCTCCCAGAGGCTCGTGGATGGCTGAAATTCTCTACCCCAGAGATTTGTGGGGGCTAGATCACTGAAAGTATTTAAAAAGGCTGTAGATGGATTTTTGAAATACTGGGAAGCTGAAGGTCATGGGGTCAGGTCTGGAAGAGGAGTTACGGCATAAGGCAGATTAGCCGTGATCTTGTAGAATGATGGGGCAAGCTTAAGGGCCAAATGGCCTACCTCTGCTCCTATTTCTTATGTTTTTATATTCTAACACTCATATTTACCAGATGCCTTCTGGCGTAATGTCTAAAGCCCAGTTCCAGTCTTCACATTCATCCGAACCATTCATAAACTTTACAAAACCTCTCTTGCTGCCTTGGTGTCAAAATCCTTTGCTGTTATTTCAACTCCGACATTACTTTTGCCCACAGTTTTCAGCTACGTTCAACCCAAAGGAATTGAACAGAGTGTCACTGCCTCCGAAGGACCATGAAGTGAAGCTAATAGATAAACCTGGAGGAAGCAACAATGAGCTTGCTGCCTTCTGCAACTTGTTAAATGCGTGAGTCTGAAATATTCAAATGAAGTCACTAACTATTGATCGTAATTTCTGATCTGTGCCATTTAAGTAAAGACTTAAAACGTGGTTTTCCAAGCTTTCCAGATCCACTCAGCTGCTGCCCCTTAGGGCTTCATCTCTGTTGTTGACGTATTTTTGTCCTTTAGATCCAGCTTATGCTTAAGAATTAGCTTTACACAATAATATGGCATCACACATACTACATCACACAAACTAATGGAATCAGGAAGTCTCCCATTTAAAATGCTTATATATAGATAATTCTACTTATAGCAAAGTAGGACTGGAATTTAGAGAAGGGAACAGGGTCTTTTTTTTGAAACAACATTCCATTCAGTCCCACATCAACATTTTAAATGAATTCCTCCAGCAGAAAGCTTTGCTTGACAGTTACATTGATTAGAAACTCAGGCAGATGTGGCCTAGGAGTGCTAGTTTGTAAAATCTACACTAATCACAGCTCCATAGCCATTCTCTTTCGAACAAAACTTTTTCAAATTTGGTTTAATGTTACTTAACATTCCTCAGCCAATCTCTGCCAAACATCTTTACTTCATTTTCTTTCGGTTTACGTAAGATCATAAGACATTGGAGTAGAAGTAGGCCAATCTAGCTCCTCAAGTCTGTCCTGCCATTCTATAAGATCGAGGTTGATTTACTTAAAGCCTTAACTCCTTTTTCATGCCAGTCCCTCATTGCCCTCAACTCCCTGATATTGCAAAAATCTATCAACCTCCTCTTTAAATACTTTCAATGATCTAGCCTCCACAACTCTGAGGTAAAGAATTCCAGATATTCATTATCCTCTGAGAGAAGAACTTCCTCTGCAGTTTTAAATGAGTGTGACTATTTCTCTTAGTTTGAGAGTTCTCCACAAATATAAGTACCTTCTCAACATCTAGCTTGTCAAGCTCCCTCCGAACTAGTATGTTTCAATGAGATTACCCTCATTCTTCTAAACTCTAATGAATAAAATGCTTAACCTGGGTAACATTCTTGACAAATCAACCTCCATCATCCCAGGAATCCACCTGGTGAATATCTTCTGAGCTGCCTTCCATGCCAGAATATTCCTTCATACATGGGGGGAGGCGGAACAAAACTGAATTGTTACAGGTTGCTACAGTATTGCTCAATCTAATCATCACACTGGAAAGTTGTAACAGGATTTCATATTTTTAAACATCAAACCCCTAGCAATAAAAGGCCAAAAAATTTAATTTTCCTTCTTAATTACTTGCTGCACTTGCCTGTTAAATTTTGGCATTTCAAGCACAAGGATGTTCAAATCTTCTGTACTGCACTTTCTTGGAACCTCTCTCCATTTAAATAATTGCCTGCCTTTTGAGTCTTCCTATCAACGTAAATGGAACCACATTTTCCTACTTTAAACTCCAACTGACAACTTTTTGCTCACTCACTCAATCCATAACCCTGTGCAGATTTTTATGTCCTTATCACAACATGCTCAGTCACTCAGATTTCGTATCATCAGCAGATTTACCTTACACTCTGCCCCTCTTCCAAGTCATTATTATAGATAGTAAATAATTGAGACCCTTGGACTCATCTTTGTGACATTCTACTATTTATGTCTTTCCAACCTGAAGAAAGCCCCATTTATCCTGAATCCTTGTCTTCTTTTATCCAATCCCCAATCATGTTAATATGTTACCCCTAAATTGTGAGTTGCTATCTCGTGCTATAACTTTTTAACCTTATTGAATGCCTCTGGAAATCCAAATGCACCTCCTCTACTAATTTCCCTTTAACAATCTGCTTGTTATATCTTCAAAGAACTCTAACAAATTTATCAAATATTATTTACTTTCACAAAACCATGGTGACTCGATTGTGTTAGGCTTTTCTAAAAATCCTGCTTTTTCTTCCTAAATAATGGACTCTAGTATTTCCCCAACAACAGACGTTAGGTTAACTGGTCAATAGTTTTCCATAATCTTTCTCATTTCCTTCTTCAATAGGGGTGTCATATTATTCCAACCACCAGAGTCTAACCTTTGAGTTCAACCTTTGAGATTTCTCCCTTCATTCACTTTCCTTCTCAAATTCTTTGCTCTTAATTTTCTTGTTACTGTACTTTAGACTCCTCTGCATCTAGTGTTTATTGTCTTTTCCTCTTACGCACTTCTTAAAGGGTTCTGTTTTGGATAATGTGTTTCTTGTAAGCGATGTTGCAATGAGATGGAACTATCAAATCATCATCATATCTACTTTTCTCCAATGTTCATCTTCAACTTCCTTTGCATATCCAGTGGCCGAAGGCTTATCTACATTAGAGTTCTCCATCCAAACGTTTTTCAGTGTAGAGATAGTTGGAACTGCCGATGCCGGAGTCTGAGATAACAAGGTGTGGAGCTGGATGAACACAGCAGGCCAGGCAGCATCAGAGGAGCAGGAAAGCTGATATTTCAGGTCATATCCTTTCTGACCTGGTTTCCATAAGGCCTCATTCAGTTGTCAAGTTGAGGCAATTCTGTTAAGTTTTGCCAGCATAATAAGATAATGACAGTAATGTCTGTAAGATGTTGCAGTGGACAGAGATGCAAGAATGCTAAACAACACCTAATATTCATGCAGAATTTAAAAGAAATTTTTTTTTAAAAATCAATAGAAATGCACAAGCCAAGAAGAAGACACTGTATGAAAGCTAAAGAAAAAAGTACTGGCCAAATGCCTTTGGATCTTTGACTTTAGCCATCCTAGATGCAGTGCCCAGTTCATTCCAGACTGATTGGTTGGAAAATAGTTCTTCGTTAATTTATTTAGAACATTTAACTGCAGACAGGAATGCTTTCAGGTAAGTTGAAGAGAACTTCTAGAAAATCCCACAAGACATAGCTGTGGATCTGAGCAAGTTTTCTCAAGTCCCTTCCTTCTTCCCATCTTCTGCATCTGTTAGATTCCTGCCATGTTGGAGTCAGTCACTGGAAAATCTCCCAAGTTGTTTCTGAGTACCAAATCAGTTCAAATAAAGTGCGAACATATCGGCTTCCTGTTATCGGCTTTAGTGGAAGTAAAGCGTGAGGAGTGAAGCTCCATAGCACCAGCTTATTATTGTGTTGTCGTTTACAATACCATGCCATCTGACTAAAATAGCAATCTCTCTTACTAATTAATTTGTGATTCTCCAAGCAGTCTGTACAGCTCATTTGAATGCTTGTGTCACTGGTGCATAGGTCAGAACACAAACAGATCTGTGTTAACAATAAAACAAATGCTGATAGAAAGTGCTAGAAATCCACTGAGGCGCCTTTTCCTTTAGTAGAAAGGAACAAGATACTTCCAGATAAATACTGCAATCAGATTTTAACTCAACTTGTCAACGAATGTTGATGTCCTGAAGCCCTTTGTGCTCCCAGACAGTTTCAGTTGTAACAGCTTGTTCAATTCCCAGCTTTTATTTTCCCAACTTTTCCGGTTCTGCTGAAGCTTTGGAAATATTCTCTTGCTGCCAATCAGCATTCTGGTGAACTAACAGGGAATCTCCATATTTTAGGTTTGCATGGAAATGCTACATGCTGTGACAAAATTCCCAAAGACTATCATTTTAACCAAAATGGAAAATTGAACTTATTAAAATACAAACAAAATTTTATTGTAGATGCCAAACACTTAAACATTCACTGGATAAATGAACAATTAAAATGGGTTAAACTCCACAGGGCCTTTTGAGCTGAACTCTTGACTGCTAGCCTTAGGCCTAGGTTCTGAGGAAGTTGCCCATAAGACATGAACCTGACTTTTCTCTGTATTGATGTTGTTAGACCTGCTGTTCATTTCTGGCATTTCCCCTTCTTGTTTATCTTATTTAAATACATGAAGAAACGTAGCAACATCACAACCCCAATCATTATTTTCGGTGTAAAATGAACCTGAATTCAGCTTTTACCTCTCTGTGTGTGTGTGTGTGTGTGTGTGTGTGTGTCTGCGTGTGTGTGTGTGTGTGCGCCTGCGTGTGTGTGTGTGCGCGCGAGAGAGAGAGGGGAGAGAGTGAAGAGTGTGTGTGTGTGTGTGTGAGAGAGAGAGAGGGGAGAGAGAGTGAAGAGTGTGTGTGTGAGAGAGAGAGAGAGGGGAGAGAGAGTGAAGAGTGTGTGTGTGAGAGAGAGAGAGAGGGGAGAGAGAGTGAAGAGTGTGTGTGTGTGTGTGTGTGTGTGTGTGTGTG